GGGGGGGGGTGGGGGGGGGGGGGCGCAGCTAACGGTTGTTGACGTGGTGCATCTGAACCCTGTTGCAAACACATGACGAAATGGTTAAGTGTTGAGAGGAAACAAAAATGTGGGTGTCACCACAGACAGTGCAACAGCCACAGCAGTGGGCAAGAAAACGTGCAGCATACGGCTGTAAATAGTATACTCTTTCGTTTTCGAGTGGAAAAGGAATCATAGAATCATAGTCACCAATCACTCACCTCGCTCTCTTTCCCCTCCCCCTGCCTCGTTGTTGCCGCCGCGTTCTTTCCGCTACCGCTGCTCGCCGGAGATGGGGGCGGCCAGTCTTCTTCGTCGTGACCGCTGATGAGCCAAAGCGTTACGGGGGTGGTTGAGTGGGTGGGGGGGGTTGGGGACAGGTCAATTCCGCAAGGAGGTGGACAGGCTGAGAATTGATCACGAGGTGGTCACAACAAGACGTTGAGGACTCCTGCCAGATACAGAAATTTTATCACCAGGTTTTGGGACATGGCGAGGAAAATCAACTCAAAAGACTCCGACTGCCTACAACAATCGGCGACCGCTACTGCTGCACGACTGATGCAGCATAGGTTCATGCGATGTTAGTGAGTCCTGTGTTGACCTCATCAATACCCCGCTTCCCCGCATAGCAGGATGCAGCGCACCCTCCATGCGACTCGCCGAATACCTCACGGCGCTTCGCGCTTGGTGATGTGCTGATAGCCTGGTCCCGTCTCAGCTTCGTAAGGGATGCGAGGTCGATGGTCTAGCGACTACGGCAATGAACGGCTATGAGTACACCCCCCCCCTTGAATCTCTTTGTCGCCACCCGGGACTCCGCTCGTGTACAAAAGGGAAAAGAACAATTGGTATTGTATATAAAAAGCCTATTTTCGTGTACGTAGGTGGGCGTACGTATGCATACAATCTGGCAGAGTTTTACAAGTGGAGTTTTTGCCGCTTTCCAAACAAAATCACCCGATCGATCACTTCGAGGAACCAACAACAACGCGCGAGTCATACAACTGTTCCTTCGGGCGGTCTTTCTCTCTTGTATACCACGCCATGAAGTTAAGCTAGGGTGGCACTCAGCTAGTGGTGTAAAACAAACGAGATAACTGCACCCGCGTGTTTCATGTTGTGGTGGATGGGTGTGCGTGGGCGTGTAATGCGAAGTCTAAAAAGTAGATGCGTCGAGAGATGGATACTCCCACAAAGCGAACAATTTCGAACAGCAGCATTCTGTCTAGCTACACTTTTTGCCCGCACACCTCTGGTGATTGGGTGTGTGTGGGGGTGCGGGCGACATGGCCCCGCCCGTGCTAGGCAGCCATGGACTACTGATGCCTGCAGTACTGCTGTAGATCGACACCCTGTATCTGGCGAGAGTGCGCTGTAAGTACACAGCAGACGTTTTCGGACGTACCAGGTGTGGTGTTGTATGCATAAAATTGTAACAGTCAATTCTTGCGATGGATCACACTGATGTTGGTGATGTAGTAGTCCGCCATGGGTGGTGCTATTATAGCCAGACAGCATCTTTGTTGCGGCGGCACGGCAGTGGCTGGTACCGGTAGTGTACATAGCGTTGGGTGTTTCATGATCGGGGGCACATATTGCATAATCATCTCCTCACGGCCATTTGAAAGGTGGCCAAAAATGATCCGATCGGCCGAAAGTTGGGACACACACGCCAGCAGCGCTTTGTCTCGAGATGAACGAATCTCACCTACTGACAACAGGCATCGGAGCAGTGTCCGAGTTCGTCGTCGTCGTCGTCGTGGCTCTCGCTCTCGTGCGGTCGCGCACCGCCACACCCGCTTGTCCGCCCCAGGGTGTGTGCGACTTCGCTGCTGAACTTGACTTCGGGTGTCTGCTGCTGCTGGCTGCTCTTGTCGTCGTCGTAACGACACCAGACGCCCTCCGCTCTCGTTCTTGGATATCGCCGACTGTCGGGAACCACAGGAGAAAAAAGAAACCCAGGTTTCGAATCGTAGCACCCCATAGATCCAAGCTACCTTTCTGCGCGAGGTATGTCGTCGCAGGAGGCTTGTTGGTACCCTACGCCCCCCGCCCACAGGCGTTATAGACTACCAGGTACTGGGTATGTCGCGAACAAAATATATGTGAAATTTGAAAAACAAAGCCTCACATCTTTTAGCTAAGTTCAAAGGAGGACTCACCTATTTATCACCCAATAGCTACAGGCGTATACAAACCTCGCGTGGTTCACTTCGGTGACTCCTATAGGAGGGTACTTGAGTGTGCTCACACGTGCTTCAGTGGTGCCGTGTTGTTTGCGACAGGTCTGGCGCGCGTCGGTGGTCGGTGGGTATAGGGGTTACGTGGGATAGATCTGAGTGACAATGGGGGATGGGGGCTCAGCGGAAGAGATTCCGAAGGCTCGTGAGGATCCACGCGGTGGAGGATACGCTCACTGCACTGCTGCTGCACTGGCGGTTGTAGCGCCACGGGAGTGCAAGCTATGATGAATGCTGGTGTACGTGGCGTATGTCAGAAATTCAACACCGGAGGTGGTCTATGACCCTGGGGTGCGTTGCGTGTTTGGCTACATAATAGATTGCTGTGTGTTCCTGTGTGGCGGAGGTAAAGTTGGTCAGTTCGCACACCGTCCACCAAATGGCCATGCAGGTCTCCTCTCCAAGCGCCCAGCCCGAAATAAAGGCTGGAGGAATGTTCCAGTATACCGATTGGCACGCTTGCCTCTGCGCGACGATAGTGATACAAAGCAAAAGCGTCGGAGACAGCTACGGCAGCACGAGGCCAACACAGTATTATTATTGGTTTTCACTGCTGTGTTGTTGCTGTTGTTTATCCACTATTGTAATTTATTAATGTTCGAGAAGAAAAAACATGAGAGCTGGAACGGAGAGCTTGTAGAAAGTAGCGGCGGCGGAATTTCGTGGAACGTGAGTACGACTACGGTACATCAATTATGAGTAGTCCATTGCGGTGGTGATCGGTTGATATTGAAGCCCTTTTCCGGGCATCGGGGTCCAGATGTACATTTTGCGTGGTTGCCAGGCCCTCATCAAAGTGGGCTGTTAGGTCGGGATCCTTCACGCCAAGCCCCCCTTCCGGCCGAACAGGATATGGGTGTTGCTGATGGTACCCACGCGGAGCGTCATGGCGGTCGTTGCGGAAGATCGAAAGACACCGCAGCAGCAGCGATAGGGCCGGTAGGCATGACTACCAACTCGCGTTCCCGGGTAATGTCTGCTGAGACGGTGCCAGGCGGAGTATTACTACATGACATGAGGTGCCGAAATTGGATTCGACGCCAATGGCCTGGGTGCCGCCGACGTCAAACCGACCACCCCCCCTGCGCAGCAGCGATACCACCTAGCGAAAGCGGGTACACGGGGGGGGGAGTTGGAACAACGAAACGCCGCCGGAAGACCGATCGTCGCGTTCGGCCGACCATCTTCTGGACGGTCCTCTTTACGCGGTACACTTGGACTCGGCGACGAATGAGACGTTTACCGCCTGGAGCGTGCACTGCCATGGACAAGAAACTATGTTGAAGGATAACTCTCCAGTAGAGAGATGACTCAGTGGTGGACGCTTCGCTAGCGTGGCGCACCATTAGTTGACACTCAACCACGACGGCACGGCAGCAGCGGCAGAAAATAAATGCGGCAACAAACAGGGAGGGGTCGGGCACCACAGGGAAGAGAATCCATGCTGCTAGGAGTAACGCCTCGACGGCACGTGCTACAGGAACAGGCAAAATCGAAGTATACCGCAGTATTCGCTGAAAACTCTCCGGCAACGAGAACGGGCCATCCCCCACAAAAACACCGAGTGAGGGAAAGCCTTTATTACTGTGAGGGAGAAATGGATCAATGTCCATTTTCACCCCGCCCCGACCTCTGCGTTGCCTCCTAAGATGTTGATTCTCCCCCTCACGTTTTTCGCCGCCCCACGGGACGTTTGCAACAGAATCCAAAAGTCGCTTACGACGTCCCCTCCCCGCTCAAAACTCCCCGAGAACGGTGGAGCCCGAACCTCTAAGACTTCCCAGCGGAGTCGTTCTTTGTTACTATTGCACTGAACATTGACGAATACGGGCTACCTATGTGCAAATATTCCGTAACAGGTTCCGCTCTTTGGTCTCTTAATATTCAGACCATCTCGGTAATGTTCAACAAAACATATTTGTCTCATGCTTTTCCCAATTGACGTCCGTAAACGGGATAAAATAGCCAGTAGTCTTGAAATAGTCGACTACAGGCCAGCCGCCAAGTGGCGGCGAGAAAGACGGTGCGAAACAGGTAGCGACCGGGAATCCTATGGGCGACGATAGGTGCGGCAGAGGCGAGATTGAACTGGTTTATGACAGCATCTGAAACGTACGGGAGAAGAAGAAATATAGTCTCCACGCAATTGGTGACGACTTCGGACAGCAGCAGCAGTATCTTTTTTGTGTAAGTAGGGAAGTCAGTTGTTATCAATCGCCGTACGCTGTGTCGGCGTAGCAAGCACAGACAACACAACTCACGCCTTTCATATTGCATGGGTTGATTGGCTAGATAGTTAGCGCGCTTCATGCAGATCATGCGCCATCAGGTACTTGTTCGAGTATGATCGCAACCACTATCTGTCCGTCTGCAGAACGAAGACGATTCTCGTCTGTTCCGCAACAAGGCTGGTGTGATGGGGTGGCCAGCGATGTGCGCTCTATGGTCATAGGTGGGCATATGGGGGTGGGGTGGGAGGGTCATCATGCTCGAGAAGCAAACAAAGAGCCCGGCATACAGAGGGCTGGAGAGAGGTGATTGAGCAAGATGTCAGCCATTTGTATTGTCAAGGACGAAAAATAGTCTATCCAACGACAGAGATACGACTATGTTGTGCCCGATGAAGCTTTCCAGCGGGTTGTCTGGATGCGTCCTGGCTTGTGATTTCATAATGTCGAGAGGATTGTTAGTGGTGCTGTCGAGAGGTGACAGTAACGAAGTCGTCGCCCCGCGGGATGCGAGTTCGGCGACAATGATCTCTGTTGTTCTGTTCCTTGTCGACGTAGATATATATGATGCAACCCATACGATTTCATTGCCATCGATGAAAGGTTGGATTAACTAAATAATTGAGTCGGCGGCAGTTTTTTCGAAGAAATGAAAACAACAAAGTTTTTCTTTTTCCGTTCGTTTCGGAGGAGGACCATCAGGACTGCGTCGAGATAGATTATTTTCGATCAATCCTGCTCCACTTATCAGTACCAAAGGCATCACTTCCCACTCTCGTTGTTTCAGCCACGCCTCCCTTTTTCGCAGTCAGTCCTGCTACGCCCCGAGCCGAGTTCGGCTCGAGCCTTCAGAAACTTCTTTGCCTCAAATACTTTTTTGAATAGGGTGCAGTTGTTTCGTCAGCATGCATGCATGTGTTCGAGTCTCCTTGATTTATTTCTTCCTTCCTTCCGTGGTTGTATATGTCCACGGCTGGCTAGAGTCTCTATGATGAGTGGCGTGCTTGTACCGCCTCCTTTTTTCAGCTCTTACTCATGAGGCAGTACCACTCACTGCGACATGCACTCTATTCGTTGTTCACGGACAGGAGTAGTAGTAGGTGGTCAACAGATTTTGTACGATGGGTTGCGAGGCGCGGGTGCAACCAACCAAACAAATCACAAGTAAACACAATCGGAAGGAAATACTTTGTTTTGTGCGCGTCGTGCACGTCAACAGCTACATACATTTGAACCAACAGACAGATGGACGTACTATGTGGTACGTAGATAGCCCATCGTGAAACAAAGAAAAATTCGGGGGACGTTGCAGAAAAATTGTCTCTACTTCATGTTCGTCAATTAGTGTGCTACGAACATCAGCCACTGATTGATCTCATGGTGTAGTCGGTAACACTGCAGACTCTGAATCTGCCACCCCGAGTTCGAGTCTCGGTGAGATTAGTTTTCGTTGCGACGAGTAGGTCCTATCTTCTTCTTCTGTTTCCTTTTCCATTTTCTTTATAGGTTATAGTTTTGACTGCTGCAGCTCCACGCTCCTTACTCTGTGTTGGGTGAACCGATTCCAGCGTCTCGCGTTCTTTCTTCCCTTTCTTCTGCCTCTCTCTGTCGATTTGTTCGTTGTGTTTGACCACACATACATCAGTCAGTGTGTAGCGTTCACCCCTACCACAACAGCAGTATTTTCGAACTCGCTCTCCTCCTGCGCTCGCTCAGAATCCTTTGCAGGCAGAGTCTGTTCGAATGTAAACCAATATGCGTTGTGCAGGTATTTCAGCCGTACAGCCTGTCTGTGTAGTGTGCACTGCTGTATCAAAAATGTATGCAAGTAGTGTATCTACACAGCAGTGCTCCCAAGTCTCTTTTTGGCTCTCTCGCGAGCTGTAGAGCATGATGATCAAAACCAGCTACCGCACGCACATTTTTCTTCTTGCATTGTGCCTCTTACAGCAATGCTGTCAGCATTTGCCAGCTTGTATGTGAGAGGTGATGGAGTGGTGAGAACGAAGCAACTCACTGTGGGCCCCCGCCCATTGAAATCTTCTGAGCCGGCAGGAAATGTCCCCAAGTTTAAAATTTCAAAAATTCAAAATTTCAAATGAATCCCGCCGCACAACCGTTTCATCTTTTTTTCGTATCTATTCGTCGATAAACTACTACACGCTCGACGACGAAACACATAATCGCTCGCGACGAAAAAATTCATCTCTCGCATTCAAATATATCGCCGCCCTGTGTGCATGAACACGACACGTGCATGATAATCAGAGTTCCTAAAAGTAGCAGTAGTATAAAGAACGACGACATGCCACGATCGACGCCTGAACTTCGCCTCGAAGCGCCACCCGACGACGGCCTCGACAGGGTTTTTGACAACGGCCTGATCGTCGATACTGATGAGGAGTCAGAAACACCTCCTCCATACAATGAGGGCATTATACAGCGACCGAGCGCGAGACTCGTGAGTCGTCGCACCGACGACAACGATGACGGCGGCACTAGCATCGCCAAGACTAAGCAGTCGCCGGCTGGCAGTCGGCTTTTGTCTGCGACTTCCGCTGCCCTCACTCGGGTGAAAGGCATGACCCTTCGCTCAGGAACAAGTGGCAGGGTGCTGAACCCGCGCTCAGTTACGCTAGTCTCCGGCCTTCTTTCCCCGTCGAGGGGGAAAAAGGGCGTTGATAATGATGGTGCAGACAGAACCTCAGAGGAGGACAGAAGTAGAAAGGACCGGCCCTTCTCACAAGGCCACGTCGAGAATGACAAAAGCGCGCCATGGGTCCAAGATCCCGGGCAAGACGATGACGGTGGCGGTACTAAAAGCAACAAGCAAAAGCTCTCGGTCCTGTTCGACGACGAAGAAAGCAACGCTGAAAACGGGACCGAGGAGGGAGCCAGCATTCCAAGCACTTCAACAAACGACTCAAACGCCGCTACTCCGCGCTCCAAATGGGCGGCCACGCTCATGGCGTCCACCCTGGCGAGGGAGAAGGCCACAGGGAAAGCAATGGTGCGAAATCGGGTTGATCTGCTGCCCCACCCGCGGGAGGCAGCGAACAAGGTGTGATGGTATTCTGGACCTACTGGGGGTAGCATCAGTTTTACGAGCCTACACGTTGGTACTGTGTCCTAGTACGAAAAACGCTGCCACGTCGATCCATACTTAGCATGGACAGTACAAGCATTAATCAATCATACTTAGCATGGACAGCACAAGCATTAACCAATCACTTCGAAATATCGCAATCCAACAAATGTGCACAAGATGTGCACAAGTTGCACATGGTCTGTCACTCGAAAAAAATCAACGCAACGCGATTGCGGCTCCTCTTTGCAAAGACAAAGCGCCGACATCGTCAAGTAAGCGGTGTACGCTCTAGTGCAATCTAGCGTAAAGGAGGGTACTACTGGTACAGTTCGTGAATTGGCAACTCTCTCCAAGAACTGGAATTTAAATTAGAGAGTTGCCACACGGTGTGAAGAGCTAACTTCAGCACCGCGTGCCCCTCAACGAGCTGCAACACACTATAGGAGTGTCATCGACCTGCCGACCTACTTACCCCGACCCCCTTCCTTCTTCAAATAGATCGAGTACCTCGTCATGGTCTGCAAGGCGGCGCAGGCTTACGCGTCCACGCAGGCCGCCCGGTTGTCCAGGGTGCGTGATGGGCAGCACATGATCAACCAGCTCCGGGACGTGGCCAGCGACCTCGGCCGCCAGGCGGAGAAGATGCTCGCCGTGTACGACACGCGAGAGGTCCGGAACTCGGCGGACCGCCTCGGGGAGACCCTGAAGGGCGTGTACGACCTGCTGGGCGACGTCGAGGGCACGGCGATCATGTTCGGCAGGAAGAGGGGCTTCGGCAAGAGGGTGACCGCCCTCGTGCACGACATCGGGACGCGGGCCAACGCACTGCTGGCCGCGACCTCCCTGGCAATCGCAGACAGGTGACGGCCACAAGAGACGGGGAGCAGAGGTCAGAGACGGGTTGCCTTTATTAACAGGGAGCCTGTGGGATGGATGCGTGTTCCTACATGTATGGCCGCTGAGTGCTCTCGTCCGGTGGGCAACGTAGGCCTCTCCGTTGTTGGGGTCAAAGGTGCCGGGTATGGTCCTTTCACAGACAACGTGGCCGAAGGGTCGCAAGGTTGTGTCGGGTTCATGTTGCCGGCAATTGAGGGTCGACAAGTTGTCCATTCGTGAGCCTTACACAAGGAAAAGGCCCCGATATGGCAGCGGGTGGGGGTGGGACGGCGCCTTGCCACGGGGTCTGCATGCCGGCGTCCATCAGGTGCCATGCAGAAGAGTCCTAGCATGGTCTTTATGTTCGTGGTCTCCCGCGTCCCGCACCTAACCTAGCTACTCGTCACACGCCATCGATTGTACAGGCCAAACGTTCTGTACATGGCGGACACGGGAGGAGGCGAGCCTCCGGCCCCGCAGCAGCAAGAGCTCTTGAAGATGTGCATAGAGGGAGACAAGGTGAGCATGGTTGGTAAGCAGCTCGAGCACACCCACCCGTGTCTGCATCACGCTCCGAGTCTGTCTGCCAACACAGGTCCGGGGTGATGAGCCTGACGTTCTAGATCAAGTTGCATTGAAACCAGAACGGTACCATCGGTATGCGCGAGCTCTTGAATAGAAGCATGTCATTGCCTAAATCAGCGCTTCAACGAAGCAGGGATGTCTCGTTACTCTCTACACCCTTTTCCTGGTGCCCGCTGTTGACTTCCTTGAAACGAAAAGTTCGGGACTATTAGAAACGACCAGAAATCGAAGAAGTACCTATAGGAACACGCGCACTAACTTTGGTAAACGACGGACGAACTATCTTACAGCATGATCGGCGAAGAATCGGCACAGTGCACCGACCCGTTTGTGCATCTTCTCCCGCAGGCGTCACGAAAAAGATGGCACACCCTTGTGGCGCCCGTCCTCGTCAAATCAGCCTCTCTCTCACTGATACCATTCTCGCCATGAGAGCGCCGCTTGCGCACCACCTTGCCTCTCCGCAACACAAGAGTGTGCCCAAGAGCATGTCATCTTGTGAGCCTGCGCACACTGTCGACTGACAGAGTCACGCCATTCCGATGTCGACGACGGAGCTCAGAGAAAACGCCTCCTTTTGCCGTCGTATGCGTGAAACAACACCACTACCGAGGCAGTTCTTCTTTGGGCGTGGCGAGAATCCGAATATGTCCAAGGCCTTCGAAGCCTACGCCTGGGCGGCGGAGCGTGGCTGCGCGGAAGCCATGTACATGATGGCGTGGATGTACAGGGTTGGAAGCGGCAGCGTTGATGCCGACGCGGAGCAGTGCCAGCGATGGCTAGAGAGGGCGGTCGACAAGGGCTACGCGCCCGCCATGAACGACCTGGCGACGACCCTGCTCGAACAGGCGGATCGGACGGAGCGTGCCCACCCGGAGCTTAAAGCAGATGTTGCCGCTGCCGACGTTATCGCTGACAGCCCTACCGACGATGCTGACAGGGGGCTTGGTGCGACTAGACCGCCAACGCCTGATGATCATACCAGCGGAGGATCTGAAGAAGGGTTGCCGGATGGTGTTAGTAGCGGAGACGGGGTTGGTGGTACCGGTCAGGGGGAAGGCAATTGTGAGGGGGATGGGGGCCGGCAGGTGGAAGCGGAGGAAGACGCTAGCTCGCTGCCGCCAGAGCTCGCTCAGCTGTTCGAGCAGGTGATGGAAAAGCGAAAGAGATCTATGCAGCTGCTCCAGGATGCCGCCAAAACGGGACACACGGAGGCCATGACCAACCTCGGCAACATGCAGGAGGCCATGGGCTATTTCGAAGATGCAAGGAGCTGGTATAGGTAAGGTCGTGTGAAAGAGAACGGGCTCCCTACCTTCCAGCATCCGTTACGCTCTAACTGGCGCTGGCGCCCTGCGTGATCAAGGGCTAACCACACACCAACTGTACAGCCAGTAGGCGAAAACAGAAGATCATAGGAGCCAGGAAACTCAACCAAACATGATGGATTAGTAGGGAGAGATTTCGGGCCTGAGGTGTTGCTGGAATTGCCTCCGTTGTCTGCAGTTTTCCGTTTCCCTTCTTCCTAGCCGCCTCCCCGCCGCATTGCTTTGCACGAAGTTCGACGCAATCGTGGTTCTTTCATCTTTGTCCTTTCCACTCCTGCACCGACAACAAACAACGGCAAAACAGTCTCGCGGCGCACCCTTCCGAGTCAGCCAACAACCCGAGAGCCCAGAACTACCTCGGCACGCTTTTCTACGAAGGGCGAGGGGTGACGAAAGATAGAGACGAGGTGAGTGTATTTTGTTTTTCTTGCCGTTTGCAGGATGGACCGTGTTCGCTTTGCAGCGGCACCAAAGTGCTCAGATAGGAGATAATGGGGGATAGACAAGACCCAAGTTGAGTTGTGTCACAAGCTATTCGTTTGGTTCTGTGAGGCATGTGAAGTTCGAGCGATGTTTCACTACCAACGCGTAAACCATCGATTTTCGCTCAACCAATGCAACCAGGCTTCGTGGTAAAAGCCTGTTCGAGCTCCAGTGTACCCTCCTTGCACCATTGCATCTTTCAGGCGGTGAAATGGTTCCGCCTCAGTGCCCGACAGGGCTTCCCCCAGGCTTGCCAGAACCTCGGGATGTGCTACCAAACGGGAGCGGGAGTTGAAAAGGATCTACCGAAGGCCGTAGAGTTATTCCGGCAAGCTGTGGAGGGTGGGAGGTGCGTGCACGTGGTGGGGAGGCGGCCGGGGGGGGGGTATGTTTTCACTCTTGTGGCACGGAAGATAAGGCAGCGAGCCGAATGACTTGTTCGGTCTGGCGTCTGGCATGGGGGTTGTGGTGTGCAGACCATGGCGCTGTGTTTTGCGCGGTTGATTGGGTAAAGTTCGAGGAGTACGGGAGCAATGAGAACAAGACAAAGCTGTTGAAAACGAAGCACTATTAAGCTTCCCAGACATCGGGGTTCCCCACGAACGGATGTCGTCTGAGGAGAAACACGGTGATGTACACGGTGTGATTTATTGTAGACAGGGAAGTCAAAGGCCTCATGCTCGCTCTGCTTGATCTTGTGTATTGTTGCAAGTTGGCTATGTAGAACAAGAGTACGAACAACTTTCACCTCCTGCCCTATACGCCTGCTACGATCGAGCGCGTTACACGGCGCTCGTCATCTACAGCCACAAACTTCGCAGACGAAAGCCCGGCACCACGGTTGATCGAAAATTCGCAAGACTCCGTTGTCTATCCGCTCAGAAAAGAGGTGCCATTTGTAGCCACCTCTACAATGCCGTCATACTTTAGACATGCAGAAAACGTCCAATAACGCCCGTGTTTGATTTTCTTCGTCTCCCCTCTTCTTTTACCCCGTACCACCAGCATATCCGCCACCAACAGCCTCGCGTATCTGCTGGCCAGAGATGCTCTCCATGCGCTTGCCGCCGCCGCCCGCCAAGCCCCCCCGGGACTGGACCAGCGCAACCTTTCCGCCGGCGTCGCCGGCACCGGGCTACAGTTCGAAGACCCTTCGAGGGGGATAATGAAACCCGCCGGGCTGTCCTCCCAAGCTTCAAGCAAGGTACAGCAGTACCATGACACACATCCCCGCTCGCCGCCACCACATGTATGTACTGAGCTTACGCTAGTCGTGCTAGGGATAAGCGAGTCAGGGAGCTGTGGTACAACTTGTACCGAACGCGCGGAGTACCGGGCGACTGCAGGAGAACTCCTGAACAGGCATGGCCGCTCACACATGTTCCTGTCGGGGTACTCCTCCAACCTCAGCCCACTCGAGACATGTTCGTCGTTTTCTATATGTCGTACCTGCTCTTCTGATTGGATTATGGCTCTTCCAGGCCTGGCGTGAAAGCACGGCGCAGCTGCGGGAGGCCGCAGACCTATTCAGGCGTGCTGCGGACAGCGGCATCGGCGACGCCTCCTACCAGCTCGGGCGGCTCTACCAGCAAGGGTTGGGGATACCGCTCGAACCGGTGGCCTCTTTCGAGAACTTCTTGGCCGCTGCCGACGGCGAGGTGGTCCATCCCACGGCAGGCAAGGACGAGGACAACAACAGTGGGGAATAGCAGGAGGAGCAGGCAGGCAGGACAGAGGAGGAAGAGACAAGGGGGGGACGGACGGGGTACTCACAATACTTTGTTGTGTTGCTTGTTCGAACCTAGGAGAAACGTTGGACCACGCTTTACTTTAATGAGGGGAGTTTAAGGTACGCTTTGCGTGACACGAAAATCTGGCTTTTGGGGGGCACGGAGGCTCTCGCTGTACCCTCCTTCGGTACCAAAAAGTAAACAATGTAGCCCATTGCCCAACCCCCCGGATTTGTGTCCCTTTGTAACAGCCGCATGTGTGGGCGACATGCTCTACACGGGGACCGGCTGTCTGCGTGACTACGGCGCGGCCTTGCGCTACTACGTTCGTGCCGCTCATGCGGGAGAGGCAACCTCCGCCAACGCTGCAGGGCTGATGCACGAGCTGGGGCGCGGGGTCCCGAGGAACTTGGAGGTTGCGAACTTCTGGTATCAGAAGGCCGCAACTCTGGGGTGAGAAATTAATGCGCTTTGGACACATAAAAAATTCAACGTTAGAGAAACAGGGTAATAGCGAATGCGATGGAAACGCGAATAGAGAGCGATACTCTTGAACCTGGTGACGCTGTAACACAGAAAACCGGGGAGGACAACCACGGAGCCTGCCATGCAAGCAACGGGCAAGATGAACATCTAGCCTCCAGATCGTCGGCGTGTTGTTGGTAGTGTTAAAGGCAGCGAACGAGTAGTCCGTGCGACGAAAAAATGGAAGATTTACAAGCAGGTCAGGGAGGATGGATATGGAGCGAAGATAAATCGTCGAATGTGCCCCAATAGTGGTTTGCTGCCCGCTTGTAGCCTTTCGTGCTAATAACAAGATGGGGGGCGTTGTCTGTAGTTAATGTTTTCTTGATACTCGCAAGAAAGCACAAACCATTCGGGCTAAGAATTCCTTCATGATGGATGTCGACCACATCGACAAACGAGCACAGGGGCAAGTTTGGTCCTTTGCCAGAAAATTATTAGCTGATTTAACCGCCTTTCTCCATAAGACTCAACAAGATGCTCTATTTATTGCCACCTACATCTTGACTGCATCTGGATCGTGGCTGCGGGTCCCCCCCCCCCCCCCCCGACGCGAACCGTTTGTTCTCGTTGGAGCTACGTGCTCGATGCCGAAGAACGGTTTCATACATCTAGGCCACCTTAACTCCCCCCCACACCAACATCGTCCTGTACTACTGTACATAAAAGCAACCCTTACGGCGGTGCCCTATTCAATACCCCAACGCCCCTGCAGATCAGCCGACGGAGCTTTCAACGCCGCCCTTCTTCTGGAACGGGGCGACCCCTTGTCGGCGATAGCGTCGGCGGCCGGGCTTCCGATGTTCCAGGAACAGCAGCAGCTACCTCTCCGACCATCTTCAGGGTTCTTGACGTCCATGGCGGGGGCAGGATGCCCCGCCACCGCAACCCCCCCTCGCTGTTCGCCGCCCGCTGGCGGTGGCCTTTTCGGAGCAAACGGTGGCGACGACGGGGATCTTGCTGTAGCCTCGGGTTCGACGGGAGGAGTAGGCCAGCGGCCGTTGTGGGGGAATCGGCCACTGGCCTTGCAGATGTTCCAGCGTGCGGCGGAGCTTGGACATCCCGAGGCCATGCGAGAAGTTCACCGCTTGAGGCTGCGAGAGAGAATAGATCATCTTATGGCGGATCGAGGGGAAAAGCGGCACGCTTGTTGAACTAACTCCCCGTGTTTTTAGCTCCGAATCTTTTATATTATTGCTTCTCTTTTGAGGCAATGCTTCCATGTAGAGTTATCATGATTACCATTTTGTCCGCCAAGAAACGAATGTGGGAGGTGGACCTTTTTTGTGTAGTTGCGCTCAAGTGCAGCATCTGCCCGTTCTGTATGGTATCGATTAGAGTTCTGCGCATTGTCAATACGAGTTGGTGCACAACTTTATTTAGTTTGATGTTATCTTGGGGTGCGGCAGTTTGCCCGGACTCATTTGGCGGTTCAGCCAATGTGTCGACGTCCATTGTTGCTAGTGTTGTTGCTGTATTGAATTTAAATGAATATCTCTGACCTCGTTTAACTTTCCAGTTCTATCTCTCTCTCTCCTCTGTTCATGTGTCTCTCGTTCTGAAAGAAACGGTTGCCGCACCAACCCCGACCGGTCTTTTTTTTCACGCGTGAGTGACTTTCCTTTTCTTCCCTCTCTTTGAACTTTAACTTTCTTTGTCGTCCGTCGTCTTTATATACTATATTCCTTCCATCGGAAATTTAACTTTCTCTCGTGCGTTGTGCGGCATTACTTTCCAGATAAATTTGGTGGTATTCGACTTCCGAGCTGGAGCGAACGGCCGTACAACCTTTTTTCCCGCTCGTGTTTCGTTCGCCCTCCTACTACCACCACCTTGGTTTCCTATTATTTCTGGGGGGCGTCCTATCTTGTTCTTATTAATAAAAATAGACTGTTGATTTGCGAGAAATTGCACATGAAAACGTTGGAGGACGGAGAAGAAGAGCGGAAGGCATCCGCGTCGGTTGGATTTGTAAGGATAGGATGTTATGCAATCAAGTGTACTGAGTGAGACCGGACGCATATCGTTCTTGTGATTCTTGTGCGCGTGTGCGACAATCTTGTCACAGCACCTTCGGAAAAAAAAACGGAGGAAAAAGAAGTGACCCTACTGAGACTCGAACTCAGGGTGGCAGATTCAGAGTCTGCAGTGTTACCGACTACACCATAGGGTCATTGCTTGATATCCGGACAAATGTTCAGCTTATATATATTATGAACGCAGAAAATGTCCATGCTCCTCTTTTTCTCGAGGGTGGTGCTGCTGTGCAGTACAGCAGTGGTGCTCCCCTTGCTCTTGCTGGCCGGATGATGCACATCTTTGCCTTGAGTGTGATGTGTGTTGCCTTCACCGCCGCGTGTTACATGATGCGTGATCTATTGCTGATGTGCGGGGGAACTTATCAAGCAGCACAGGGGGCAGGGAGGTACAAGTTCGATACACGGGCCGCCTCCGAAGGCAGCAACACAGCCACCACCCACCACCACACGGACCAGCAGAGCTCCCTTGCCTGGAGAAACACCAATGAGGATCGTAGCGGGCACGTACGAGGGCTTCTGCTATGGGTGGGAGTCCAACAACACAGAGTCGGCAGCAGTGGGAGCAGAATCACTCAGCGGTACCACCACGACAGACACTAAGGGGGTCAAAAATAGCTCACCGCCTCCCTCCGCCACAGCAGCGGCTTCATCACAACCACCAACACCACCGCAGCCACTGTCGTTGGTCTTCGGGTACAACGTCCACGTGGGTTGCATGAAGTCCGTGGCGATCGCTACCTCCGGCTCTCGCGCGGGGCAGCTGCTTGTTACGGGGGGAGCGGACGAGCGAGTCCGGATCTACGACCTGAGGGACAGGACCGAACTCGGGGAGCTGCAGCAGCACAATGGTGCGTGCATCATGACACAGCAGCAACAGCAGCAGCAGCGTAAACAGATACAACAGCAGCTTGTTGCGTAAGAAGGCACGCAGTCCCGCTTGGTGCAGCAAGTAGAGCAGTCATGCCCAGCGCCACGATAATTATGGTGGTGAGGCTAGCCGACTTCAACAACCAACGAAAATGCGGCGCAATAGCAACAGCGGATGATCCCACAGCCCACAGCCGTGTACAGGGTCGGGAAGGCAAGAAGCAAGAAGGCACCTTTCTTCCATCTGTCGGCCCTTTTCCCTGGGTATGGCTGTGCATCGTTCCCCGTACTCCTTGGCATTTGCCGCAAGAAAGGAAGATGGCGAAACTCACGCCACGCAAAAAAAGTTGGTGGCGCTATCTTTGTGGGTACATACCCAGTGTCTCGCGCCGGGCCTAAAAAAGGGTTCGTTTCCCCCGGACGTATGCACAGCTACGCATGTACAGGCGTTCGAATACGTATGGATACGGCCGTGAAGATGCGTTGAACAACCCGCCTGCTGCTGAAATCTTGACGAAACTACCGCTACCAGTTGACGTTGTCTTGACAGCATAGTCTACCTATGTGCCATGGAGTGAGCTCCTTGTTGCAATGGTGCATACACGACACACATCCACACACACCCCTTGTTCGCCCCCCCCCCCCCCCTCTTCCTCCTCGCGGCGTTTATATCTTGGGTGCCGTTACCGCTTTCCCGTGCACCGCCGGCACATTTCCTGCTTAACTGTTTTTGCTCAGCATGCGCGTGAGCTTCGTTTCCGTTCTTGTCTCGGCCGGCCTCTCAAATCATCGTGGGGGTGTTTTTTTTCACGCTCGAGTCCCTTCCTCCTTTGTACTTCTGCGACGATGCCAGGAACAATCACGTGCATGGAGTTCTACAAGTCGACGCACCTTCTCACCGGGAGCGAGGACCACACGGTCTGCATCTGGCGCGTGCATGACTGGGCGCTTCTCCACGTGCTAGGGGGTCACAAGGCGGCTGTCACTTCTTTGAGGTGTGTGTGTGTGATTTACTGGAAGCAAGCGACAAGGGTTTTTTACGCGTCATCATCCAGTGCGGGTGATTTCCAGCAAGAAAGCATTGTCATCATCGAGTGGGTGTGATTTTCCTGGAAGCAAGCAACGAGCGTTTTTTTTCGTATTATCATCGAGTGCATGTGATTTCCTGGAAGCAAGCAAGCAAGAGTTTGTTTTTTGTTTTTTTGGGGGTCATGATCGAGGGCATGCTAAACTTGGGGGCAAGACTCTTTGGTCTTTCGCCACACGAAAAAGAAGCTTCCTCGATAAGAGTATTGACGGCGTGTCCTTCAGCAACGCTCCTCACCCAACCACCCCCATGGATAAACCCCCACCGGAACACTGCTGTTGTGGTACGTCGTTACCGTGGCGTGCCTAGCAAGCGGAGGTCAAGGGTTGGTTGTGTTGCACAAAATGAACCCGCATGACAAAAGGACAAATTCGGCTACATACACGAAGACTGGCGTATTTTCATTTGGTCAGCCGGGTAGCACGGTCGATGCCGCTTCGAGAAACACACAAAACAACGGGCACGCCCATCCGAACTAACGTGCTTGCCACCCTTTTTCGGCTGCCGGATCTGTTGTTCCCAGCATTCACCCTTCGGGTAGAATGGCCCTCTCCGTCTCGCGAGACCGGACCCTTAGGCTGTGGAACCTGCTGGAAGGTCGCTGCGCCTACATAAAGCGCCTGCAGGGGGAGGGGGAGCTCGTGAAATGGTCTCCCGCTGGGGATAGGTGAGGGGGTACTCACGTCAGCGCATGCCGCAGTCGTGTAGACCTTTGACCTCACATCCCTAATATGTCGGGACGGAGTGATATGCCGGGTTTTCGCCGGCCCAGGCTATGTGAACCAGAAGCTGGTCATCATCCTTAAGGGGGGGGTGGGGAGATACTTGTGCACTCTGACATGCCGCTCGCCGGAACAACGGTAGTTTGTCATGTCTATGTGCACCGTCGTCAAACTTGCCCTCGTGACCCACAAATTGGAAGCGGTGTGTTGTACCTCTCCCCCATCAAGCGCCTCCGTTTCACCCTCTTTATGTTGGCGGTGGTGCATGTCGTTTATTGCTCGCGCCCCAACTTATAGCCAGGGACGGAAGACCGGGCGGGAGGGGGGGGGGTATTCGTTTGTTTATTGCCGACAGGTTATCGCTAAGAGGTTCATATTTTGTTTCGAAGGGGAATCGCGGGCACAGCAGTGCCGAAAAACCCAACCAACCACCCCGTCTGTCAGGGATGCTCCTCTGGGGGGACAGACAATTCTACAATACTCGCTTTCTGGCGTTCAACATAACCCGCGCCAGGTGGGCTAGTTGGCGTCAGGGTGTCGCGCGGCCTGCCCTGCTCGGTACTCAGCAGGCGCATCGCGGCTCGTGCACGCGCGGCGCCGTCGCAGACAGACAGCGGCGCCGTCGCAGAGACAGACAGCCGTCGCCGCCGGCACGTTGCCGAAACGACCAGTCGCCGTGTGTGCCTTCTCCCCAACCCATCCTCCTCCCCTCAGCCCGTGGAGTTGCGGGAGAGTCGGTCACTCCCTTGTTATGTTTTTTCCCCTGCTGTGCCATCTTCTCCTCGCGATGATCGATCCCTATACCCTCCCCTCCCAAAAAAAGACCAACAAACGTGCCCCCGTCGCAACAACAGCGGCCCACCACTCACACACCGAGTTGCTCTCGTTCCGCCTTGGTCCTAATCAATCCTCCCTCGCCCTCTCGTTTTTTCGTGTTATGGGTTGCCCTTGTCTGTTGGCACAGCTACCTGGTGGTCGTCGGGAGCACGGTGTCGGTGTACAGCGCGGCGACGTCGGAGGCTGTCGGGGAGTGCAGGCACGACGCGCGCGTGAACTCGGCGTGCTTCACCGGGGGGAAGGGAGGGAAGGGGGCGGTGGCGGTGGCGACCTGCGCGGACGACAAGACCATCCGCTTCTTTCGGACGGAGGGGGGAACGCTGCTGGTAGGTCGGAGGCAGGCGCGATCTTCCCAAACCCCATCCCTGTCCCTTCACGGGGCGAGAACCCGATCGGTTTCTAGCGTTCTGGTAGATGAGTGCTGTCGGTTTGAGGACAAGCTCTCGTCGTGTTCTCAAGGTCGACAGTTGGGGCGGTGTTGATAAAACTTGAGGCCAAGCTCTCGTGACGTTATCGTGGTGGACAGGTCGACAGTTGGACGGTGTTGATTGGGAGTAAGCGGGCTCTGCTTGTTGGCTGGTGGTCCTTTAATTGGTACGCTTTCGGACACCGGTAGGCCAGTTTTAGCACTTACCTTGCGCGTTGATGTTGCGGGGCTTGCTTTGGACTTGTGCTCGATGGACTCAGTGGTGCTCCGTTTTTGGATAGTTGGTTGTTGGGCTGCCAGGCGACTACCGCTAGGCATTCACCCCCCCCCCCCCGCCCTCCCGAACTTTGGCAAAGTAGGAAGGAACGATTGGCCAGCGGTGATCGGTCCTGTGGGAACAATGCTCTCTCCGTCCTTTCGGGAACGCGTGGTCAATGAGTACGCCCCCACCCCCCCTCCCGACCACGAGACGCTTCTTCCCCGCGGCGTATGATACGTGCAGTCTTTGGATGGGAGGTGGGAGAGGTACACGCAGGCGCAAGAAGTTAGCCTTCAGCATCCGAAGTAACCTCCTCCTCACCGACAATACCTCCACTACTGTTGCTCGTCGGCTGCTGTGCAGGGCAAGGTGGACGTTAGCGACGTGTGTCCTACGGGACGGATACGCGACATGTGCCACGTGGGAGCCGACGCCGACGCCGACGCCGACGGCGGCGGCGGCGGAGACCGTGCCTGTTCGGGGGGGGGTTCCCTGGCGACGGTTACATCCACGGGGGGGGTGCACGTGTGGGGAGTTCCCACACTGGAGGGCGTCGGTGCGGAGGGCTCCGGGGCGGAGCTGACGGTGCCACTGCTCTCGACGCACTCGCTGAAGGTACGCTAGGGGGACGATGATTTTGCGGTAATGCTATAGTGGTGGGTGGGCCCGATTTAGCGACCCTCCCTGTTTAGCGGGCATGCCCAGCGTGTGTAGGGGCCACAAGAATACCGTATATGACACAAGATAACACACCCCCTGGACCGATTTTCAAAGCTCGATTACTCCACGACGAAGAGGATGCATAAACGAAACAATACATTTTCGAAAACCTCTCGACGAGACGGTTCCAACGCCGCCGTTTTCGGCGCTGTGACTCTTCCTGCTGTTGAGAAATCGAGCTTTGAAAATCGGCCCAGGGGGTGTGTTATCTTGTGTCATATACGGTAGCACGGCACTACTAGTGGCCGCTATTCCGGCAAATAGCGAATCGTATTCCTCCCCGACACCAGGGCTCTCGCCGTAACCGACCCCCCTGGCGGTTGAACTCTTCTGCGCTGTGTGGTATTTCCCGATGACTGCTGTTTGGGTTCTGCAGGGGGAGCCCCGGTTCACGTGCGTAACGGCGTGCTTGTGCGGGGACGTCACGGAGCCGGCCCCTGGAAAAAGCAAAAACTCCAAGAAGCGAAAACGGCGCCAGCGGCAGCAGCAGGAGGCCACCGGTGACGGACAAACACAAGGCCCGCCGGGAGAGGAGGGGCGGGGTCAAGAAGGAGCGCCTGGCGCGGGCGGCAGCGGCAGCAACAAAAAGAAGAAAAAGTCGAAACGCAAGAAGGCGAAGGAGGTTCAGTTTCAAGGTGACCCCGCCTCCAACGGCACCGTGGGGGCGGGGGAAGGGGGGGGGCGAGAGAACGGGACGGGTGTGGGCAAGAAGAGCGGGGCGAAGGTCTAGAAGAAGTCGTACCGTAAAATGGTAGCAAGGAAGGCGGCACGCTGTGGGGTCGTCGAAGAACCACGTCAAGTCGTCCTATGCCGATGTAGTACCACGGAATTTTGATAGCAACGGGTACGTCGTAGCCCATGCATGGGATATGTTACGGATGCGATTCGCTATTGTGGTCCGGGCTCATGACCTGGAGCTGACTACTTGTGTTGACACTTTACACACTAACGATAGTTATTATCTTGCGCATCCTTGCGCTGAAGAGTGGAGTATACCGTAAACACCGACTTTGGGGTGGGTTCGTGAGAATCTCTTGTGTTGCTCTTCGTACTCGTGTCACTTCAACGTGCCAAGTATGCCATGAACAGAGGAGCGAAGGCATCAGGCCTACTTACAGTAGCCTCGTGATTCCACAACAATTTCGCCCTCCGTTTTATCGGGGGAAAAGAAATCCAGAGTTTTGTGGTGGAGGTGAGAGCTTTACAGAGAGTTCACATTTCCTCCAAAATGTCCGTCGAGGACGAACGATTCTCCGCTCTTCTTTTTCGCGCTGCCGACGACGAAGACATGTATCCCTACAACCCGTGGTACGCCTTGATTTTTGCGGCAGAAAACCCGGGTTCAAATCCCGCCCGCCACCTACCAACACGTGATGACAAGAGGGCCGCAGAACAGAGATACTGATTATTTGTCGTGTTGCGTGCAAGTGTAACCTCGTGTTGAGATAACAACCTCGTACGCCTGCAACGGTATTTTGTGTGTTGTGTACGAAAAACTGTCTCTGGTCTTCCTGGAGCAGTCCCTCAGCCCTGGTACTATTTAACTCATGGGTTCATGAGTGTTACTACACATGGTTCATGTCCCACACAATATCATCCTTCTTGGGAATGAAACAGTACGTGCAGAATGGGCACCGGTTCTCGACGTAAAATGATAAGGCTGGGAGTTTTGCACTTTATTTCCGACCGATTTTGCTTCGTTCACCGCGTTTGTTTCCGTTTGATCACGGCGCGACAGCCGATTTCCCACACCTGGAAGCCTTCTCTTCTTCGGTAGCACATACGAAAGAGGCTCTATAACAAAACATGAGTGTGTGTGTGGGGGGGCGTACTCTTATGTTTTGCATGCCTTAGCGGTTAGATCATTGACCACGCGTCCTCGAGAGAACGGAGTGTTGTTCCCACAGGACCGATCACGGATGGCTAATCGTTCCTTCCTACTTTGCCAAAGGTGGCTCAAGAATGTCTTCCCTAGTCTGTCTATCCACATATGATAAACGTTTTCAACCCACTTCCTATATGCCCCAGTACGGCTACCGTCTTTTCCTCGCTATTCCATGCCTCAAACATCTCTCCTTGTACCTTCCTTCTATTTTTCCCAGTTCAGTCATGTACACTTCCCTCTCCTTCTTGTACAACGAACACTCCGCAACTGCATGAACCCGGTCTTCGCACTCGGCGGGGCAATCACATTTAAACTTGGCGTCTTCATCATCTCCCTTCCGAAATCTTCGTCTATGTTCGTTCTCGAAGGCCAGTGTCCCAGGTCCTAAATTTGACCTTCAGCTTTGTCCCTGCATCCATTGATCGATGTAGGTAATCCTTGAGCCCTTTCCTTCTTTCAACATTTGTACAATTCTAGACCCTCCTTATAGTTGGTTTATTTCCTTAGATTATGCTCTTCTCTCTCGGCACAAGCAACAGATATATATCTTCTCCTTGAACCCTTCCAGACCCTCCGTTTCCAGCGTTTCACCTTCGCCAAATTCGAACCCCTTCCATACGTCCTCTACAACCTTGACCCACTCCGTGGGTTGTCTCCCCCGCTTTTGCTGGCCCGTGCACGCCATCCGGGCTTACCCTAATCCAAAACAAAATATCCCCCGGGTTCTCTTACACACACACCCCACACAAAGGTAGACCTAGGCAAACCTACCTTAACAGCCTTCGCCATACACACACACTCAGATAGAAGTGTTTTGTGTTTTCAGCCGCACTAAGACTGACGTCTTTTCATTGGTCAGCCGGTTAGCGCGGTCGATGCTAATGATAAAGACACACACTACGATAAACACACACACACACTCTGAGATTGACGCCTTTTCATTGGTCAGCCGGTTAGCGAGGCGACGTATGGTCGGGGTGTTCTTCGAGACGAAGATCGACTCGGCGTCGCGTGGATGCATCCCGTGAACAATTACCAGGAGTTGCTGAAGCAGGGCGTACGGTCCACACGAACCATTGGCGAAGTTCTTGAGCCTCTGCCAGTTGAGGAGGTTCCTCGACCGTTCCTCGTGTTGCTTCTGTGCCTCCGCCATGCTGGACGTGTCATCTTGTAAAGTTTGGAGCGAAGGAAGAGACAACCGTGGTGAGGATCAGTACAAGAGTGTTACTGGCTCTGACCTTGGTTACGTACAATCGGGGCTTAAAACTGAGGCGAGGTGAGGGAAGGGTGGGCAGGTAGGTATGGCCGGGGGAGGTGAGGGGGGTTGAAGGCGGGGTGTGTGTGAGTGTTTTTTTTTATTATTAGCATCGACCGCGCTAACCGGCTGACCAATGAAAAGACGTCAGTCTCAGTGCGGTTGAAAACACAACCACTTCTAAATGCCATTAACTGGGACCCCGTGAGGGGGCGGCATGGTGTGTGTGTCTTTCTTATTGGCATCGACCGGGTCCAAGTTTGGACCGAGATGACCGTGCACGCGGGGCGGACGTTCCTTGACGACGAAGAAGCGTTTGGGGCCTTAACGGGTGGTGGCGAGATGGAGGAGATGGCGTCCGATCTACGGGAGATATGGGAGCAAGAGATCCCGAAAAAGAACGCGTAATATGATACACGCGGATTGTGGCAGAACGTGGTTCGCTAACAGACATCGACGGCAGGACGGAGCCCCTGGAGCACGCTGGATGTGTTCTGCATGAAAACAACCGCTTCGAGTCCACGGCTCACAAAGTGACACACCCCTCGCGTGCACGCTATTGCGCCATTTTCAGGCGAATTTCTTCGACCGGGACCCCGAGATGTCCGCGGAGGCCAAGGAAATCGCGGCGTCCTTGTGCACAGCAACCCTCCTTTCCTACGATCCCAGCAACGTCTTCGCACCGGCTATCCCTGCGCCTGCCTCAGAGCCTGGTGCCTCGGCACCTGGTTCCTCGGAGCCTGCATCGGAGCCCTTCTCCGCGATATTCAATGTGCCTCTATCCGTACACACACGTGGTCAACCCCAGGACTGGCGAAACGACTACTGGAAGCCAGCGAACCCGCAGGCATGCCGAGGTGATTACTTAGTTGATGTTATTTTTTCGGTTTTTCTAGTTTTTTGCGGTCGCGCTTGCACGGGCAGTAAATGTTACAGGAGGAAATATGAGGCTCATTTTGTGTTTATTGTTTTCGTCACGCCTATGCAAACAGTTGGGGGCAAGGATCAAAGTAGCTGTGGCAAACGCCAGCACCATTCGCAGCAAGAAGAAGAACGAGAAGCGTGCGGTAACGAGGAAGAAAGCGTGCGAGGCGCGGAAGGCAGAGGCTGAAGCAGCACGGGGGGCGGAGGCGGTCGAGGGCGATGAGCGGGAAGAGGGGACAACTGTGGGCGGGGAGGGGGTTGGCATGGACGTGGATGAGAGCGAACAGGCTTCCGTGGATCCTACCCGGCCTCGGACCAAGAAGTCTCGTCGGCTTTGCCACCGCCGCAGCAACAACCGCGGGAGCCTTCACGGCTGGCGCGGCCGTGGTTGGCGTGGTCGCTGCGGCAGGGGTCGCCGGCACAGAAGAGGTAGGCGTGGTAAGGGCACAAGCGGCAAGCTGAGCCGCGGATACAGGCGCAGGCGAGGGCGCGCGAGAGAAGAGGATGCTCTGCGGCACTCGCGCAATAACCTCAGGGGCGGTGGTGACAACGGAAGAGGATGAAGCGGTAAGCTAAATTATTCTTGAAGTCGGGTGGTCGGGTAAAGCAAAAAGGTAAAGATATATGTTGACCGTGATGGCGAACCAAGCTACCCGGAACCACGACATATTATCAACCCTTGTCCGCATTTACCCAGGGGAGCGCTGGTGGTGGCGAGCATGTAGTGTTGGTAGGCAGAGGAGCACGTCGAGCAATCCGCGACGGCAGACAACCCGATAAGTACGATACACACCGGTAAGCGTGGACAGATGAAGAAAAAGCAGCGGCGGAAGCCAGGGTGGCGACCAGGCAGAAGCAGCTGGAGGAAGAGGAACGGAAGGAGAAGGAGGCTGTAGCTGCTGCCCCTACCGCCGCTGATGTTGAAGCCATCGCTGCGGCTGTGTCGAGGGGAGTGGCGAAAACGGTCGAGGAAAGCAGCGAGGAAAATGACGATCGACCGTGCATGGCGTGTGGAAGCGACGGGCTCGAAAAGATGGTGCTTTGTGATAACGAGCTTGGCGGTGGCCGGTATTGTGACAAAGCCTACATGTATCACTTTGCATATGTCGGCCTCGACGAGGAACCAGATGGCAAGGTGGGTGAATCCTGATAAATGGATACCAGACCAGATCTGCTCATTTTGGAGTACAATTAATGACATGTGATTCATCCTGGCCACAAACAAACCGTTTCTGCACAACTTGTTTTCGTCCTGTCCTGCGATACAGTGGTTTTGCCCCCGAGTGCCAGAGGTCTTGTGTGGGGGAAAACGGCGAGGAGGGGGGGGAGGAGGAGGAGGAGGAGGAGGAGGAGGAGGAGGAGGACGAGGAGGAGGAGAGCAGAGAGGATAAGGGCGCGGACAAGGCTGGTGAGAAAAAGCAGGGGGATCGTCGAGGGACCGCGAATAAGAGTTCTTTCAGACACATTTTTCAAGATTCTCACTGTAGAACAAAACGAGTTGGTGGAGTCGAGCAAGAAGAGAGCCGGCGAGGTTGATGATGAGAGAGAAAGATCAGCCCCGCCAGACCTCCGAGGCATAACTTTATTAGAAACTCATCATGCCATGCTGCAGTTGCGAAGATTGCGAAGAGGTGTTTTCCGATGGAAGTTTACCGTAAGTGTGAAAAGTATGACGTGCGGCTATACGGAAATATACCCCCAGGGGCTGGGGTCGGCGGGACGCGTGTACGGTCGGGTTGCAACCATAAACGAGAGGGGGTTGTCAAAAGTGTTGCGATTGGCAAGAGCCCCACCGTCTTGTACTCTGTATGCTGGGATGATGGCTCCGATGATAGCAAGCGGTCCACGTCCGAAGTTCACGAGCACGCCGTCGACAACCAGGGTGCCGTTTCGCTCCAAGACGAGAAGCGCAGATTTTAACATATTTCTTTGCGCTGCCCTGTGCATAGCGTATGTACACGTTTACAACTTCGTGATTCAAGACGCCAATCTCGACAAGGAACCCTTGCCTGGTAAGAAGCTAGTGGATGGGACAGACAAGGAGGAAGAGGGTATATTACGAAAGTTCATCTGGGACACCGTACACAATCTTAGACGGGTGGATACTGTGAGCGCTCATGAACGCGATCTGGTTTCTGCGGACAAAGATCTGGCGAGGGACATTAAGAAAGAAGGATCTTTTTTGGAGATGCTGGGGGTGTCAGAAAACAAGGATGGGCTTTTGGGAGAGTCTGGCACAGGGTTTCACGACAATCACCTAGTGTTCGTCAAGCATATATTGAGAGGGGCACAGGAGTCGTGGAAGTTGGGGCGTTTCACTAGCATCGATTCATGGGTTACACCCGTCGCTAGTGGCCTTTTCAGCGAGCTTCCTTGTGGCTATGTATTGGACCAAGGGTAGGGTGATAAGATAAAGTTGAAAAATGAAAAATTCGGAGTCAGCTAGGCATTGTCTAGCCATGAGGACGATTTTGGCCAGAGCATCCAATGGCAAGGAGAAGGAAAAGGATCGGAGATTCAGTTGGTACACACAAGTCCCATTAAGCCGCCTCCTTTTGCCGACGAGACCCGTTCACCTCGGAAGCATCAGGGCTACGTCGGAACGCAGGTCGAAAGTGGCGCCCACGCGGAAAAACGACCAATTCTTTAACATTGCCTCGAGATTGCGCGAAACCAGATATCAAAGGGGAGCAGATTGTGATCACCTATTACGAGAGTTACAAGACGGTGGCTGCCCAAAAGAAGAAATTACGACGGACATCGAAAACTGCGATCCGCAATATGGGAATGGAAGGAAACACGACCGAGGTAGACTCGATGCCACCGTCGAACCGAAGGAGCGGAGACAGCAGCTGTATATGGCGCACAGCATCTTAGAAACGAATGGCATACTTCCTATCATGTCCAAGGTGAACACCGAGGAGGTGGACATGTGTTGGGAAATTCGGGCCAAAAACAAGAAGTACTGGCGGAAGACGGACGAGAGTCACCTAGAAGCGGACTGGATAACCCCCGTCGTCGAGCGGTTGATCACACAAGGTATCTCTCTCCAAGACGTGTCTTCATTCAGCCACGCATATGGCTACACGGACCGTGTGACCAGCGCGGTCACGCGGTCCCAGTGTGCGCTGAGGTGCTTGGCACGAAATTCACATGTACACGGCGGAGTGGCTCGGGATCTGGTCTGCAAGAAGTCGAAAACGCACAGAACGGTGAGTCATTCCAACAAAGAAAGGTGTGCACCTCGTTTCTCGTGTTGTTGTCTGGGTAATAGGAAATCAGACAAACAAGACCAATGTCAGCTCTAAGATGCCGAAGTATCGACATTCTGCTGCTTGAGACTCAAACAAAATATCGAGCACCCCCATCGTGACATGACTCAGGTGCGGTAATTCACGACGAGAAAAGCGAGATGGTGGAGAAACTTTCTCTGTGTTCGTGGTCATGTGTGTCGTCCGCTCATGAGCGAGCTTTTGGCACGAAGAGGTCGGAGCTGCTGGGGCAGCTGAGGAAGCTGGAGGCGAAACATCCGGGGAAAATTGCCAGCAGAAAAGCTTAAGACCTTGCAAAAGCGCATGGAGATTGCTAGCAAGAGCAAGCTCGGCGATACAACGGGACCATTTGACGTCAACGGCAAGTGCTTCGGTGGCAAGTGGTACCGGGATCCTATGAAATACATCGGACGCCAGTGCTTTGTCATTCCCAACTGGGCCCCCCACATCGCACGGACGGAGTACATCACCCTCGTTCACGGTGATGCTGTGGCACAAGGAATATCCTTGGACGACCCAAGTGTAACAGCTTTAGGGAGCCAGTGATGCACGGGAGAGACACGCCAGCGAGGTTTTATGATAATGCCAGGAGGAAGAAAAACCCTTTCTTCGAAGGTCGCCACCGGGGAATTCTTCAGTCCATTGTGTCCATCAACTCAGGGAACGGTAGCTTCAGCCGAGCGCCCGTGTATTGGCGGAGGTGAGCATTTGTTGTTGGAAGTATTTTTAGGCGGGTTTGGCAGAAAACCGAAGTGGTAGAAATGTTTGGATGACTTTTGAATTGATATGTGTGTATTATCTCCTCAGTTCCATTCTTATTCATTTTCTCTCTCCCCCGTGCCACAACAAACGTGATTGCGGCTTCGAATGCGAAGACCGTGTTCATGTAGTCGCGGAAATGTCCGTGGTACGAAGAGGAGAGGGAAGTGTACATGACTGAGCTAGGAAAAATACAAGGGACGTACAGGGAGATGTTTGAGGCATGGAGTAGACAGGAGAGGACGGTAGCTGTACTGGGGAGTAGGAAGTGGTTTGAAAAGGCGGGAAGGGATATCGTTAGGATAGACAGACTAGGGAAGACATTTTTGAGCCACCTTTGGGAAAGTAGGAAGGAACGACTGGCCATCGGTGATCGGTCCTGTGGGAACAATGCTCCGTCCTCGCGAGGACGCGTGGTCAATGGTCTAACCGCTAAGGCATGCAAAACATAAGAGTACCCCCCCCCCGTGCCACAACAAAAACAGTTCTACCTCATTCCGTGGCGACGACACGCCCCCTCGCGACGGCACCGGTCCCGCTTGTGACGGCCATCGGGACCAGTTGTGATGGCGCTATCTCCTGCGGTTGCGCCGGCTACGGTTCAGCCCGAAACCAGTCAGGGTATGTAGTCGTTTTCGTTTTCGTTTTCCTTTTCCTTTTCTTCCCTTCACCCATGTGCAAACCAACACTCTCGGGGTCCCATGAACGACCGTGCGCGAAGTACTGCTTCCGTCGTCTACAAGCGCGGTGTGTGTATGTCTGTGTGCATTTTTTTTCCTTGGTACCCTGCATGAGAATTGTATCACTTGTCTAACGTAAAAAGCACTGATCGCCGCAGAGTAAACTCGCCGGAGGAAACGCATGCAATTAATACCACGACTGAAAACAATGACAAATGTTGATGTTTCCTTTCGGGGCCTGCCACGCGCGCCCCTGAGGTAGTGTGAAGCACCTGCGATGCTCGTTTGTGAAGGAAACTTACGATCAATGCTGCACCAACGCACAAAGCATTTGGTGTGTGTGTCTGTGCAAACGCTTTTGAGGGAAGACAAAGCTTTGACACCCCAACGGTTTCTGGAGCAACCGTGACGTGTGACCAGTTTGCAACACCGAGATCGCCCAACCCAGAGTTTATCTACAGTGCCGAGGAGTGTGTGTGAGAAGATTGAAGATTCAGCACCCTGGTGTGGCTTTGCGGGCCCCCGCAAATGTGGGGCGGCTCGAGGCGCGCTCAACAATCTCGACGGGGCGGTGCTTGCTCCCGGGTAAAGTGCTGTTGTCGTGTTTATCCTGCGGTGAGCAGGGCGCATCATGAAGGCCAGGCCAACGCCTTTCGTGTTATGTTCCTCTTCGTTCCGTGCGATCGAAAGAGCAACAAACAGCCATTGGCTCGGACTCGTCGAACAACCCAAGAAGTGCACTAGACGTGGCGAAATGGAAGCATTGTGTTGGCGGAACGAACAGAGCACCAAGCCTGAAACAATCGCAAATGCCATGTTCTCCCGCCTTGACCTTTCTACCGCGAAGACACGAGCTTTGTTGACGAATTCAGGGAGACCGAGCGCATACCTCTGATGGTGTTTGCCCCGCCACCGCTTCGGCGCTGAGGGTGCACACCTGCAATCCGCCCACGAGACGCTGAAGCTCGTACGTCGTCTTGCACTGCAGGTAGTCCGCTCTCCAAAGATATTCCATCAGAGGCTGGTTTTGGTGAAGACAGGGACGGCAAGAACGCACAGAGGGGACACGGAAGTGGCGGGCGGCGGACGTTCAAGCCACAGGAACTCAACACGGAAGAGCTTCAGAAAAGCAGCGCTACTTGGTTCGACGCCCTCGTAAGCTCGAGTCGATGATGCGTAGCAAGCGGTGAGGAGGGGCGGTGAGGTAAAAAACGCTCTACCTCATGCTGCAGGAAAGCCACAAGCATGGAATGCTACCACCGTAGGTTGCTTGAACAGCCCAAAACTGCCGTCGGCAAAAGCTGTCCGCTCTGAGCCGGTCTCTTGGCCGAATCGTCACGGACGACAGGGCAGCACCACCGCAAGACAGAAACGACAACAACAACGACAATCACAACAATAACAAGAGGTTCACCATGCGCAACAAACCAAGATTCATTCGTGCTCACCAAAATCGTGTGCACGAACGGGAGGACGATCTCCTCCGTCCGGTTGTAAAATCCGGACCAGTACGAGGACCACGTTCCGTCGAGGAGCTCGCGGATGTGCCCGTGCGCGCCGGCGTTCATCGAGTCCGTCAGCAACATCCTGCGCGGGTGAAGGGGCGCGGCGTTTGCTTGTCAGCGCATTGTCGACAGCCGAACCATGCGTGGGCGGGAGCTACAAAAAACGCCCGAAAGTGTGAATCGAAAATGGTGTTTCTCTGGTTCCGTGGGTGAGGTCAGGGAAATGACGACGACGACAAGGACACAAGTTGCGAAAGCGAAGATGGTGAAGGCAGCACGAACACCCAAGCCCCACATCGGCAGCCGCATCAGCAGCGTCAACGTGTCCTCAGCCACACAACAACATCGGCGGCGACGGACGCCCCGTTTACCTCCGTGATGCCGAAGAGACTCGCACCGAGGGATCACGGACACAACACCCCCGTCAACAGGCGATGATCCGCTATTGTACATGCAGAACACGATTTTTTCTCACACCGAAAGCGAAGGCGAGGGGCAGGATCGGGCGAAGGTATTCGTGTACTACAGAACGGGCCCGCAGTTAAAGAAACATTTCGATATAAGAAACAGAGGCTCAAGCTTTCGCGAACAACAGGATATAAGAAACACAGCTCTGTGGTGGACCCTAGACTAAACTTAATGGAACAACCTATGTCCGACAGGGGCGATGAAATATGAAACTGAGCCTTGAGTAAATTCGACGGACCCGTTCTGTATTCATGTATTCATACTCCGCTCTTGTGTTGATGTGGCTACGGCAGCGACGGCCGCAACGCGAAGTCCTCTCACCAAGTATCCTGCATCGCCGCGTCTCGGTACTGCTTGCACCCGGCCGGCTCGCGGTTGTTCTTGTACCCGAACAGGCGGTCGTGCCGCGTCAGGAAGGGCTCCGGTGCGTTTTCCACGGGGACCGCAGCAACCCGTACGGGTTGTGCAACGTCGAATACTCGGTGGCGTTCGCCATGACGGGAATGAAACCGAAACGTCCCCTGCCAGGCTCATCAGCGAGTAAAGCATGGTATGCCGTTGACGGGGAAGGGGGGAAGTAGGGATCGTCTCAAAACACAGTTGAAGGTTTCAGTCGGAGCAACTGAACGTGGAGGAGGGTTGCGGTAGAAGGAGTTCGGTTGCGAGCGGATGGGGGGGGGGGCGTACTCTTATGCTTTGCATGCCTTAGCGGTTAGACCATTGACCACGCGTCCTCGAGAGGACGGAGCATTGTTCCCACAGGACCGATCACCGATGGCCAATCGTTCCTTCCTACTTTGCCAAAGGTGGCTCAAAAATGTCTTCCCTAGTCTGTCTATCCTACCGATGTCACTTCCCGCCTTTTCAAACCACTTCCTACTCCCCAGTACCGCTACCGTCCTCTCCTCTCTATTCCATGCCTCAAACATCTCCCTGTACGTCCCTTGTATTCTTCCCAGCTCAGTCATGTACACTTCCCTCTCCTTTTCGTACCACGGACATTCCGCGACTACATGAACACTGTCTTCGCATTCGAAGCCGCAATGACATTTGAACTTGTCGTCTTCGTCGTCTACCGTCCTATGTCTTCGTCGACGTTCGCGAAGGCCTATGTCCCCGGTCCTGAATTTGACCTTAAGCTTTGTCCCTGCATCCATTGGTCCATGTAGGTAATCCTTGAACCCTATTCCTTCTTTCAACATTCCGTACACTTCTAGACCCTCCTTATCCTTGGATTCTTTCCTTAGATTCTGTTCTTCTCTGTCGGCACAAGCAACAGATATCTTCTTCTTGAACCCCTGTAGACCCTCCGTTTCCAGCGTTTCATCTTCGTCGATGTCCAATCCCTTCCATACGTCCTCTACAACCTTGACCCATTCCGTGGGTTGTCTACCCCTCTTTTTGTTGGCCCACTTCGCCTCCCATACTATTCTCGGCAACCTCTCCTCTCCCATCCCGCACATGCGGTACTGCCATGTCAGCTTCCTTACGTCTCTTCCCGACCGTAGGGATTGGATCCCCAATTCTGCCCTGACTGCTGCATTACTTGTGCGCTTGGAGCATCCTAGGATAATTTTCGCTGCTTTCATCTGCGCCGCCTCGAGTTCTTTCACTACCTTCTTATTTCCTTCCCATACTTCTCCGGCGTACTCCAGCGGCGGTACGATTACGCTCTGATGGGGGGGGGTAGTTTTCCCGCGTTGGACTCTACGAGGGCACAAGGAGAACGAAGAGGGGAGGACGAGAAGGAAGGTGGCTTCCATGTGCGGAGAGAGGCAGACGAGGCGGCCTCGGGGACGATTCGTTACAGAATTTGTGTTGAGCAGGGGTGAACGGCGTGATGTTTGCGAAAGACATTTAACGGGGTTCGGGAAAGGAAAATGCGTCTGGCCTGTGGTCTTATAGGCTCGAAGTTGCATGTACTAGCGTCTCAACCCGTCAGACATACACAAAGGGTCTGCCCCCCCCTCACGTTGCGAGGAGACGCCTCGCCAAATCAATCGTCCGAGAACGCGCTGCTCGTCCGGAAGTCGCTCCAGTCGTAGGTCATGCCCTCGATGGTGAAGTCCCAGTTGGGGAGCGCGATCGAGGGGCTGACCGACTGCAAGGCCTGCTCGTACATGAGAGAGAGGGCGATGTGGGAGGTGACGAAACCAGCCCCGTCGTACTAGTGGTCGCAGTCCCTATGCCCGCCTGAGTAGGCCGGAGTGTTTTTGACCGCGGGCGGGTGGGAGGAGCGAGGGGTTGGTGAGTCCTACTCAGGTATTTTCTCTCTAACGCCAGGCGTGGGGAGGGGAATCGGTCACCACGTCCCATGTCGGTTTAAGCGACCGTTGCCCTTGCCGTTGTCCTCATGTATATGTAACAATGGGTCCACATAAACGACCAGTATTCCCGCGTCGGAGGGTTGGTATGATGTTCCGACAGGACACAGCCCGACAAAATAACCTTTATCCAGGGGTCACAAGTTCGGGGGCGGGGTGATCCACTACGGTTACAATTATACGGTAGCTTAGTACTCGCAGCGTCGCACCCCCGCGAGAGGGATCGAGCACCACTGCAAGAGCGCAACTCTCGGGCCGACAGCAGAGCTCTCAAGCGTCACGACACCACCCACCGTAGAAAATATGAAGCCGGTTGAAGTAACCCTTGCTGTAGTACTTATCGCCGTAGATCTCGCGCCCGACGGCGCTGGGCACGCGCTGCAGCACCGACACCGCGTTGAAGAACGTCTCCCGGTCCCGGTCCGTCAGGTCACGAATCTCCCGCCGGACGTACTTCACGGTCACCTCGAGTTCGTGGGTCAAAGTGCCGAGAGAACCAGAGGTTTGCGGGGAGTCGTCCTCTTGCCCTCCCGAAAGGGGGGGCTGGGGGTAGGACACGGTGACCGTGCACTGTCGTCGTGTCGTGTTGTTAGCAGGACAAAGAAGCAAAGGAGAACGTGGAGGGAGAACAACCAGACCGACAGCAGACGTGCTAATATCGAGGGCGTTGTGCTGTGAAAGTACTGTGAAAGGGGCTCACATGGCGGCCGATCAGGAAACGACGGCGGAAAACACACATCCGTGGATGATGGCAAGCGGGTGGGAGACCGAGGGAGTCGAAGTGCACGCCACGGTAGGCAGATAGGCAGATCGACTGGCCTCTTGGTAATGTACGTGCGTCTTATCGGGCCGAGTCATCAAGTTTATAGGAAGAGGATCAGACAGGGCGGGTTCAAGGCGCACTATAGTGGCGGAAGAACCGTTGTAGAATACTAGCGTGTACACCAGCTGTTGAAAGCCTGGAGGAAGCGGACCTTCGACAACGCACCAACTCTGGTAAACGGGGCGTCGCCTCTACGCCAGACCTACTCTATCTGGAGGAAGACCAGGCAGAACACAAACCGACCACCATCGGCGCGTCGACAGCACAAAGGGTCCAGCAACGGCAGTAGAGTTTGTCATGCCCTTTTACGCCAAGTTGTCCACCTTGTACGGCAGAGAGCATCAAGATATGCGCTCTCGTTGCACGCTCTTTGGGGTCCCGACCAACACACGAGAAACATCTGTTGTGCTCTTCAAGGGAGAATCCGTGGTAATTCCCACGTTCGCAGAGACAGGGAGGCAAGACGAAACAAACTTTGGCAGAGCCCCCAAAACGGTACTTTTTGAGGCGCCGCAAAATGGCACTTGTATTAAAATGTTGGCGGTAAACGCGCGACACGTTAGTTCGAGCGGTTGCTCAACGGGTAGATCCCTGGCGACCGAAAAATCGTCTCGACAAAAGTACCTGTACCCAGCCTAACGCCGTCCACCTCCCACCTATGCATTGAACGGACGCAAAGAGCGCCACACCAACACCAGCACCAGAGGCAGCGCGTACGTAGAAACGCGGCGGAGTCTCTACACAACCAATGACAAATCACCGAGCATTGGGGGATGAAATTTGGCGTGATGCTCCATGGCGCCGATCACAGGGAATCGAGGCTGCAGACATTCTGTAGCTGTTGTGCAGCCGGAATGCTACTGCTCAGTACAATGTCGCGAACTTCGCAGTACCGTACTTGTCCAAGAAAGCCATCTTGACGCTCCTCATGCTTTAAAATGTTTGATTGTTTTGATTTAGATTGCGCAAACGGAGGCCACAGGTGCTTGACGGGCCAGGATTCTAATGCGGAGGATTCCACGAAGCAAATTGGAAAACAACAAGATGAAACGATGAAACACCGAGGAATCGAACGAAGCGCCCGCGGTCTGGCTTGTTCTGGGTACGTACGCTGTACTTTTGAGGCACCTTCGTTCCATCATTCATTTTCGCGTTTCCTGGCATAGTCTCAGAGTTCGTCGACCATTCATTTCCCTTTTCTTCAATTGGGCTGGGGGTTGTACTTAGACTATACCTACATGTAGGTGTGCGGGGAACTTTTTCACAACCCTGAGGCGGTAGATCAATTTCAGCACTCTCGATTATATATTTCCGGGCTCTGTATCAATCACAACACAAAGTCGTACCATGCACATATATATCTCGTGGGTGATAACTTCGTCATTGCTGTCCTTGCAGCCAGTGGGGAGGAATTACCGAACAACCAAAGGAAAAAAGAGCAGGTTTCCCCCGAGGGGTTTTCGACCTGTTCTTGATCTCACCCCCTCAGTTTCCTGCCTCCTATACTCCGCAGATACAACATGGCCACCTACTGTCTTTTCTTCAGCCCGTTACCCACAGAGGAGATATCGCGACGTCCTGCTCGGGGAATCGTAGAAGCAAGGTTGATAATCATTTACAAATGCATTCTATCGCGAACTTTTATCTTCTGTGGGATGGGTTTGTGTTGTTGTGATTTTGAAAAAGGAAGAAGAATAAAAGATAAGAAACGCATTGATTGATGCACGCATAGGATATACGTCACCCCACCAATCCTAAAGTGACTCGATTCAAAAGGCCAAACACTTTTTCAAGGATACGCGTGAATAGACTTCGGTCCCTGCTCACGAACACATGGCCGCGCCGAGCACCAGAAAATGGAACTAAGTCTCGTTAGATTCAGAGGCTGTATAGGCAGCAGAAGTCGGATCATTCAATGGCCCTTGTTGGTTGCGGATTTCATTTGCTACGAATGAATTCTGAATCTGACGGCCGCTGGCAAACACGGGCCTCTACACACAAAGAGAGCCAGCGGCAGGAGCCCGCTGTCTGACGCACACACCTTGCAGACACCAAAATAAGGACATCAGCTCTCTCTGCCTGTATCGGAAGAGAAGCACAGAGCGTATCTTGAGCGTATAGCAAAGCTTGCACGGGGAACCTGCGTGACCATTGTCGTGTCTCAGTGTGACGCAACCCCCGATCATGCCTCCAGCTCCAATCACCCATCGTCAAGCTCGCCGTCTCACCTCACGCTTGCCTCACAGTTGTCCTGTCCTGCATCGATAAGCAGAGGGGATTTCTTGTATGGCTCCGCCAAGTGTATCCAAGGGTAAACCTGGTCGACATTGTGGTCGACAGGGAAGTTGTCCCTAGCGGAATACCTGGTAGATACTGTAAATAGGTATCCCACATCGTGATACTGGGTTCACGACGCGTACGTGGCGCACGGGTGCTGATTTGTTGGGTTCGAGCTGCGGCACCCTTCTGCTGTTGCTGCTGTTGTGATACGGGACCACGTATGAACAGAGAGACGGCTGCGAGCGGGGCGACTCTCCGCATCCAACGGTAGAGAGAACGACATGCACTCAAGGGCGGGAGGTCATTGTTGTGGCGGCGGTGCTGTCCACTCCATTCCCCGCAGTCAAGCCAGCAACCTGGCCTCTGCACCTCGGGGCTTTAGGACAGGGCCATGGCTGCTGATTCTGCGGTCCTGGGGGCCTTATTCCCTCTCCAAACAAGCGAGGCTGCTCTATTGCTCTGTACGCGCGGTGTCAGTGCCAAGCGGCCGACCAAGCCGGACGGGTAAAAAACGGGCGACAACGCGCCGGCGAAAAAAAAGGCGCCCGTTCGCGCGGTTTCTTTTGACCGTTGCCGATACATGTTCGTAGCCCAAGGCCGGTTGGCCTAGACTGCTGGTCAGTCAATGAGTCAATGGGTGTATGTAATGTATTCACAGTCGCCGTCCCACCAGGTAGAGACGGACACAGAAAGACAACAGAGAAAGGACAGTGGCATACTGCTGTTGGCTGTTTCCCGCTTGTACTCCCGAACCGGCACGGAATCGTCATTGCTGGAGCGATCACACCGACACGCTTCCCGGCTCTTCACGCAGCGGTGTAGTGTCAAGACAAGCAATGCCTATCTCCTCCTACATCAAAAGCTCACCAACGACAATTGGCGAGAGGGAGCTCGTCCCATAAGCAAAAACCTCTCGCAAAACATATCCACAGCACCGACCAACACGGACGGGGTAAAAACGAGCGAAACGCCCTTCCTTCCGTTCGAGAACGAGAAGAGAAAAAGACAGAAGAAAAGGCGCCCATTCGCGCAGTCTTTGGACCCTTATTGTTGTACCGTTGTACCGTTGTACCGAACCGATGCGAGACCTTCGCACCTACGGCCTCCATGGCTCTTTGCACGGTGTACATGGTGTGTTTGATTGTCCCAAGCCTAGTGCTGCTGGAGCAAGGCTGGCCAAATAGATAGGCGTGAAAAGATGTTGATATCGTAATAATAAAGTCGTCGATTAGGGTGCCCTGTCGAAAAGGAAGAGAAGGAGAGTGGGCATCAGGTGGCAATCACCCGCTCCACACACAGCAGTGGCAAGGAACTCAGAACTCGGAAGATTACTCAACATGCCAAAGATACAGAATTCCGGGCTATCAGAACATACCCCGAAGATCTACGCCCGCCCCTTGGACGGTCACTTTGCTCCAGGGTACAAACCATCGCACCTGAGTAACTACATCAGCAGCCTCCGTAAGGATGACACAATGAATCACCCTCACGAGCACGGTGTAGAGTCAAAACAAGCAATGCCTACATATATCCTCCTCCCGTATCAAAAGCTCACCGACGACAATTGGCGGGAGGAAACTCGTCCCACAAGCAAAAACCTCCCGCAAAGAACATACACCACAGAATCTACAGCACCGCAGGACACCCGTCTACAGCAACGCATACATACGCACGCATACAAGCCCCTTCCAACTTGCTACGCAATTGGTGCGCCACAGCTAAAGCATCGGGAAGACGCTCTTGCTACCTTGACTTTTAAGCAAGACCTTGCACTAGGGACTTGAAAGCAGTGTGAGTGATGGGCACGGGCGGGAACACGCCTGCATCGTCGTGGGCTGGATCGCCAACCAAAACAACTCTCTGGGGAAAACGGGAGCTACCGACCGGAACAAAACGCACTGCAGTCTCATCCACAGCGCTCATGCCATGGCCTTCATCAACGAGTTCGACACCAACACACTCACTCGTGATTGCCCTTGCACGTGAAACAGAGTTCTCATTGCTCGGCCTGTACAGAATCCTAACCGTGCCGCCATACCCCTGCCAAAGCACCCAAAAGTCTCTAAAAGTATTCAGCAGATCCGTGTCGACAGCATCCTCGGACGCGCTTCTGGACTGGCTTCTGAAGACCCCCTCGGCAATCTCGACACGAGCGACGGTCGATTGCGCCTCTTTCGCCGCCAGATCGGACAAAGCTCCCTTCATACTCGCAATGTCCATGCTGATAGCTTGTTTGCTGATAAGGAAGGAGAGGAAGAAGAGCATATGTGAGATGTGAGGAGGGTGGGTGCGTGAGGGGGCGAGATTGATAAAAGATTTTACGCGTGCACGTGTGCACTCTGATCGGTTTAAATCCAACGGTATAACGGATGGATGGGCACCCGTCAAACCCGAGATCACTTTTTGCCACACCACCCTCGCGCACGCCCAGCCTGCTCACAACTCACATCTCCCCTCTCAACTTCTTCGACGTCCTTTCATTTACGTCCACAGCAACACCAACATGGGGCAGCTGGCTGAGCAGTACTTTCTGAAGTCGGGTGAGCTAGGCAGCAGGGAGCAATTTCAGGAAGAGATCGAGCACGAAAAGAACCAGGGGCTCCAGAATTTCACCGCAGACACGATTGAGGCGATAG